GGAGAAACTAAAGGAAAACCAACAACAGACACTGGGACCCCTGGCCCTTCCATGGGGTGACAGCGCATGGTTTTCCACTGGCTGATGAAGAGGTCGCCTCACTATCTCCTAAACTATGGGAAGGCAGAGTGTGAAGTGTCCGAAGGACTAGAAGGCAGGACAGAAGGAACTGCCTGACAGGACAGGAGAACACAGGACCAGACCAGGAGGAACACAAGCCAAGGAGGCAGCTGCAGGGCCACGGGCAGGGCAGAGCTGGAGGCCACCAGTTTGGGATCCAGTGGAGAGTAGGGACCACTGTGGAATGGGCAACACTGGGTGAGCATGGTGCAGCCTGCTGGTGTTGGGAGGCAGAACTTTGGGCCCCAGATAGAAGAAAAAGATGTAAACTTCTCCATTAAGGGTTGAGTAGAGGGGAAGGAAGAGGGCTCTCACAGGGGTTTGTGGGAGAAGTCATTTCAAGAACGCCTCCTAAGTGAAGCTGGTCATTTAGCATATGGAGAGGCACTTTCTATTTTGCAAAGTGCTTTTTAGCCACTGTGTGAGTTATTACCCACTACTGAGGCAAAACTCATCAAATGTAGCCTGATGTTTCAGGTGGAAAATTTCCTAGGGATGAAAGTCAAGAATCCCAACACAGACCATCTCTGGGTCGGAAGTGACAAGGGCAGGTGCACATTCCCAACCCAGCCTGAATCTGCCCCGATCTATAGAACGAGATGGCAGCTTCTTACCACCCTTCCTCTTTTTTTAAAGAACTATTACAGAAGTTCTAGAAATTCTTGGGCTACTTTTGGGACTGATCATTTAGGTGTCTCTCTTGTTTAGAAGCAGAGGTAGGAGACTTCCTCCATGGAAATGGGATGGCAGCCATGTGTCACCCAAACCCACGTGTCAAGCTCCATGGGACACTCATCTAAGAATTCCATGTCATGTCTTCCTGCCTGTTCCCATGATCTGAAAGTGGCACTGGCTCAGAGGGACAGGTCCTGGGACATTTTGCTTCAGGAATTCTGCACAGAAACTTCCAACTCCAGCAACAGATGTTACACCATTAGGTTCCCTCTTCCCCTCTCCTGTATAGGGAACTGAACCCAAGATCAGTAATGCTACAACTCTAGCACCCCCTTTCTTTTTAAAATTTTGAGATGGGATCTCTAAATTACCCAGGCTGGGCTCAAACGTGGAATCCTCCTGTCTCAGCCTCCTAGAATTATAGGTGGGATTACATGCACACCACCACACCTGGCTTGTCATTAGCTCTCCTACCAAGTCAAACACTAAAAATCTGAGAGTGCAAGGTTTAAACACATTTTATGTGCGAAAAGTTACAATGGCAAGGTTAGGAATTCATTTAGGGCCTTAAAAAAAAAAAAGCCACCAAAGCCAGGCACAGTGGCAGCAAAGGCTGCATAGCCAGCGGGTCCAGGTGCACACTCTTAACCACTGGGCCACTGCACCCCTCATGAGTTACACACCATCACTGTGTGTCAGGCACTGCTCAGAGGATCTGACCCCCACTGCCCACGAGTGCACCTACCACTCCCCCACCAACTGTGCCTACAGTCTGTGGGCACATCAGCATCCCACCTCTACCACCAAGTAAGCCCTGGACTGGGAGAAGGGACAGAAAGCCAGAAGGTGGCAGGACACAGCCCTGCACCCCCAGGGGCACAACTTACCTTGTACAGCTGGTGAAAGCCGAATGCAATTCCAGCCAAGATGATGGCCAAGGCACCGTAATCTCGCCACCGGGAACCTGGGGGGTCTTGGGGAAAAAATACAGAGTTAGGAGGTGGCTCGGCAACCTTCTCAACGTGAAGCACTGGCTCAGCTCTGTCCCTTCCTGTCTCCAGCTCCACAACCAACTTCCAGGTACCCAAGGCTGACTGCGCACTGCTGGGTGGAGGCGTCTGGCAGAGCCGAGTCCTCTCAGTCCAGGGGTCAGATGGCAGCGGCCACAGGAGACCTGCAGTCTATACTCAAGGAGCACACACCTGCAGGGCTGACAGGTGCACACTCTGCATACACACGCACATGCCCGCTGCACAGGGCAAGCCAGGGCCACACGCGCCACAGCAGGGTCTGTGTGAACCCCACCTCGAGGCACGAGTCTGCTGAGGCAATTTCAGAGAGCGAAAAGCCTATCAAATGGAAATGTGACTGGGCATGCTGGCACAGGCCTGTAAGCCTAGCTCTCTGGGAGGCTGAGGCAGGAAGATTAAAAGGTTGAGACCATCCCAGGCAACTCAGACACTTAAGTTTCAAAATAAAAACTATAAAAGGCTGGGGATGTTAGCTCAATGCAAAGGCCCTGGGTTCAATCCCTAGTAGGGGAAACAAAACCAAGACTGGGGACACACAAGTAGGGGAGAGGAGCCAGGGGTGGGTCAGGGGTCCCTGGAGGAAGCAGGGAGGCTAAAGTGCCAAGGAAAGTAGGCAGTCACTGGGTGTGAGGCGAGTACCCCAGGCAGGCCCTGAGCACCTGAGAACAGGCAGGGCCTGGGGGCACAGCTTCAGAGGCACTGAAGGGTCACCCAAGGGAGCATGCTCAGACTCTACATTTATTCATGTGCAAAAATTTACATTTATTCAAATATAGTAAGTCTTATGAACAACTGAGCTGTGAACTTCTGCAGATGCAAACAGACTCGTAGGCGCAAGCAGCAGGCAAGTCTCAGAAGTAGTCTCTTAAGTGATCCTTAAGCTGCAACAGCTCCAGCTGTGGGCCAAACCCCACCTTGCCCACTGCTGCCTCCTCCTGCTGATGACCCCTCCCAGTAGCACTTCTCTTGTCCACTGGCTCCCTGTGGTCCTGCCTGCCAGCTGCTCTATGTGCTGTACCACCATTCTGAGGGAGCTGAGGAGGTAAAAGTAGTTTATTTACAGGTTTGTATGTGTCCTGTCTTTTTATGCTTTATATTGTACATCTGTGTCAAAGGTGTGTAAGACTCACTTTGTCGAACTTACCAACAAATCTGACTTTGGGATGTTCTCCTAGAATGGATTCCTTCGTAAGTGGTAGACTCACTATACAGTCACATCCTCTTCTAGACCATCACCCTAACTCTAAATTTCATGCTCTGCTTTGGTTTTTCTGACAGGGTCTGGTATGTAGCCTGGGCAGGCCTTTGTTTCAGCAATCCTCCTGCCTCAGCCCCTGGAGTGCTGAGGTAGGCATGTGTCACTACACCGAGCCTGACTTCAGTTTCCTGCGGAACCACTGGCCCCAATCTCGCACGTCCAGCAACAGAGCCCTCCTTATGAGCTTCTCGTCCACGCAGCCCGCTCATGGTGCACTGGCAACACAGCTGTCAGTGATTTTATCCCATGAACTCTTCACCCAAGCCACAACCTCTTGCAGGTGAGACTTAACAAGGTTTCCACTAAACTAAGTGTTAACTGCAGACTTGTGAGACAGGAGTAGCAACAAAAATGATGACAGTTAAGAATGATGGTCCAGGGGCTGGTGAGATGGCTCAGTGGGCTAAAGCACCTACTTAGAACAAGCTTAGCAAAGCACAGGGACCGCGGTTCAATCCCCCAGCACCACATGCCAGCCAGCCCCGCCCCCTGGTGGGCTGAGCTGGCCACACACACACACACACACACATGCACGCACACACACACACACAAATAAATAAAATTTTTTTAAAAAATGATGGTCCATGCAAAAGTGAGGAAAAATTGTAGGCACCAAAATTCAGAAAATGTTTCTTTATTTCCTAAGAGTGTATCACACATATCCATTATATGAAGTACTAAATTGTGAAGATTCATATTAAGTACAACTACATGCGTGTGTTACCAAGTGTGTGCGTTATTCTTGAATCATGCCTGGTTCCCACTGGCCATTCGGCAACACGGCTCAAGTCCACCTGTCCCAGAGGTGTTTAGTACTTGTTCAAAGGAGCCCACTTGAGTATTTGCACAAACTTACAATGATCTATAGTCTCATTCATTTTAAGTATTAATGTCAATAATGTTATTCTTATGGAATTATGTATTAGTATTATTTTATAATTCCTTATGTCTGTCATATGTTACAACAAGTGTATTAAACGCATCTGCCTGGGATCTTAACTGGGGCTTATTTTTGGGAAAGGACTTTAATAAAGATCATGCTAGGGCTTATCTTCCAGTATGGTCTTATTTTCAAGGAAATATGGTAATGGCCTCAAAGCACAAGAGTGCAGATGCTGGCAATTTATTGCAAAAGAAATGCCCAAAATGCTTCTTTTAGAAGGTGAAAATTCCTAATATGGAGGCCAGCAAGATAGCTCAGCAGACTAAGTGCCTGCTTAGGCAAGTGCACGGACTGGGGTTTGATCCCTGGCACCACATGCCCTGCTGGCCCTACCCCTGGGTGTGGTGGCATATGCCTGTAATCCCAGCACTGGGGAGGCTGAAAACAGGAGGATCACTATGAGTCTGAGCTGTGTATTGAGACTCTGTTCCAAACACATTAAAAAAAAAAAAGAAAAGAAAAGAAATTCACAATGTGGAAAGAAAAAACGATACGCTGAGATTGCCAAAAATCAACAGTGCAAGCAGGGTGTGGTGGTGCACACCTATAATCCCAGCACTTGGGAGGCTGAGGCAGGAGGACTGCCCTAAGTTCAGACCCTGTCTCAATATATATGGTACAATAAAGTCTGAGAGTGAGACAATATTCACATAGCTTTACAGTGGGACACTGTCACGGTTTTGCTACTCTATGATTGGTCCTTACTCCTGCTTTGTTACTCTATGATTGGTCCTTACTCCTGCTTTACTACTCTATGATTGGTCCTTACTCCTGCTTTACTACTCTATGATTGGTCCTTACTCCTGCTGTGTTTAATTTCCCACTAGCCCTCATCACAGGTAAGCACAACAGTACTGGGGGCTGCATGATGATCCTTGCCTTTGGGCACACCTGGGGCTCCTGGAACACACACACACACACACACACACACACACACACACACACACACACCCTCTGCAGATGTGGGTCTGGCATTCCTGAGCACCACGGCTCCTGAGCCAGGGGACAGAAGGGCCTGCACTTCCTGAGCATGGTTCATGAAGCGCTTCTGTGCCAGGTCTGATCTGGGCTCACGGGGCACCTGCTCTCCTCCTCACACCCCAGAACTGCCATCCCCAGGCCACCTGGCCCAGCCCCCTCCCCCTGCCTGCTCCCAAAGCATCACCACAGGCAGGCACAGGACACTGCACCCAGCACCCGTGGTGGCCCCAGAACCCGCTGCAGTGCTGGTGCAAAGTTTCAAGGGAACAACAGTATCCTGACTCTCAAGAGGAGCAGCACAGCCTGCAATGCACAAGACCTCTACGGGGCAGGGTGACCTCAGCCCAGGAGGCAGAACCTCAAAAACTAGAACTAGAAATTGCGTTCCAACCAGCTACCCGCCTTCTGGGCATCTTCTCAAAGGAACTAAAGACATCATTTTATAGTGACCCATGCACACCCATGTTTATAGCAGCAAGGCAACAGTAAGGTACTACCCTGCCGTAGAGGATAAACCTGAATCATTCGCAAGAAAACACATACACCTTGAGACTGTAAACTTCTGTGAAGTAAATCAGACACACAAGTTTAAATATCTCAGGGTTTCTCCAGAGTGTGAATAAATTAAAGAGCAAATGCAAAAGGGGTCAAGAAACTGCAGGAGGGGGTTAAGCTCAACCCAGCTTCCTGATGAATGGGACCATCATGCGGTGCAAAATGTGCTAAGAGAAATAAGAATTGCTTTAAACAAGGAGGACAGGGGTCAGCAGTGCCTCACACCCCATGTCTGTAGATTCCATGTGGGATCATGGATCCCCCACATAGTTGGCACTGTTTCGGCCACAAAACTGTTGCAAACATATGACCTCTCCCAGCACTCCACTCCCAGTTTGGTTTGACATATTCTGAATAGGCTACACGCACGCATGCATGCACGCACACGTGCACACACACATAGGCTTAAACATCCAACAGCAGAAGTCAGTCACTACCAAAAGGCTTCCTCCACCACCAACAGCCATGCTAAAAGTTCCATGTTTACATTGCAGAGGATTTTTATGCAAGTATAAGGTGACAGAGGTGTACCTTATCTTCATTCTTTTCCCCCACTGCACTTTTCTCTACAGCTGTATACTATTCTACTCTGCCCAGACCCTGCTGAGGGCCACTGAGCTCAATCCGTCTCACATAGGGCAGTTCCCCCAAGGCCATCTGTAAGCCTAGGTGCTCCTGGGGTAGGGGTGAGCAGGACAATGAGCACTTGTAACTGGGGTGGCACCTCCCATCAGCAGCCCCACTGGCCATGCATGGGGTGCCTGTCTGCACAGCCCTGTCCACAATGCAGTCACAGGGCAGTCCCCACTGTTCAGTGGTGGGAAAAGGGGCTGCTCTCTGATTTTCATCTGCACTGAGCTTATTTCAAGTGAGGGCTGAGTGCCTTCTCCTCTGTATTTCCTTCTTAGTATGCTAGATTTTTTTCCCTTTTCCCTTTTGAGAGACTTTTTGTATAGCAGGGACATTAGCCCTTCATACTTCTGGTGAATTTTTCTTTGGGTTCTGCTTGTGGTCTTTCGTGGTGGGCAGTTTTTATGTTTACATTCACATCTCAATCTACTCCTGCAGGCTTTAAGTTTGTGTTGTGGGCAGCAAGGACACCCCAGTCCTTCCCAAGCAATTGTGCATCTTCATCTAGAAAATGACCTTGGCAGGGGGAGCACATGTCACCTGTTGTGGACAGCATGGCTCAGTAAAGAGGCAGT